GGCGTGGCGTGGCGCGGGGCGGACATTGAGACATGTGTCTGAGGATTACCGTCCGGGCGGCGGCGATCTGAAACAGTGCGGGGCACAGGACTGGGGGACGGGAGGAGAGAAGGGGAGGGAGAAGAGGGAGGAAAGAGGGGAAAGGTCTCGTGCAGACGCGCCGTCCGTTTTCCACTCGATTGAAGAGAACTCAACTCATGCACCCCCTCCCCTCCTTCCCCTCCCCTGCTCCGGAGCCAGCCTTGCGCTGTGTCGATTCCAGCAGCAGGGGGCACCTCCGGCCTCCGGTCCGTTTGGGTTGACTCCGGGCCACTCCGGGCTGATGCTACCACCACCCCTCTCCTCCCCCTCCATCATCTCGACTTGCCCCTCAAGGAGCCCCCTCATGATTCCCCCACCCTCCTTTCCCTCCCCTCTGCTGCTCATCAAACTCGGACGCGCATTTTACTATTTTCAACGTCATTACTGCAAGCTGCAAGAGCGAGGGAGACAAGTGTGCGCTGTGCGCAGGGCGGGGGTGGGGTGGGGGTGGATTGAAAGGAGCACGAGTGGTCTATGGCGGGGGCTTTGACTCCTCAGAGCAGTCTGCTACCGTGGCGGAATAAAGTCAGTCGTAGAGTTCAGTGCTCCTTTCCGGCTCCATGACTTGTCCAGTCCCTGTCCAGTGGGCTAACGCTATAGTGAGCCAGTTGCGCGCAGTTCAGTCGGTTTAGTCAGTCGTTGAGCCGTTGGTCTTACCTGCAGCCGCCCCACTTCCAGCCCTGCGGCGTGGTGCGCTGGTCCGCGCGGCCCGGGTCGCAGCCGCAGTCGGTGAGCTCGCCGCCGGAGCACGCCTGGGTAATGGCGTGCGCCACGCCCGCGCTCGTCACCGCGTAGATGAAGGCCGTCTCCTTGCTGCCTGCGGACACACGAGAACACAGAGGGGGCTGTAAGGCGCGGCAAGTCTAGCTGGAGAAAGGATTCAAGCATTTTGCAAACAAATTCTTAAACACGTTTTTCAAAAGCTCTTTGTTTGAAAATTCAAATCGAGGCTGGAGGCCGGAGGGGTCATGGGCACGGCGGGGACGGGCCGGCTGGAGTCAGCTGCCGCCGCGCTCCGGCTGCCGATGCAGTCGCCCGTCAAATATTGAGAGAGCAAAGTTTTATCCCCCACCCCCTTCTAAAGTTGGCTGCAATGAAAGTGATATTATGCAGAGGAACGTCAACTGCATCTCCTGCGAGTGGAGGGTTGGGGGAGAATATATAACAGTAGCCCGCCACCTCCCGACTCTGCGGGCGAATGAGTCGTCGCTAGTCGCACGAGTACGGCAGAGATAGAGCAGCAGCCAGGCCAGTGGGCTGTGGCTCAAGCTCCATAGCGCTCTGCTAGAGCAGCGGCTTCCAGGCTCCAAGCTCTATGGAGCTCTGCAAAAGCAGCAGTGTCCTCCAGCTCAAGCTCCATGGGGCTCTGCAAGAGCAATGGCTCCCCGGCTCAA